AACTAGACGGAAGGGCGCTGGCACCCCCCAACTACATTTTCACCCTCGAAATCGGGTGCATGTGCTATCAGAAAGTCATCAATACCGATTCTCATGTTCAAAACAATTAGAAATAAGTTAGCAGTATTGAAAAGCCTTCTTGTATGGGTCGGAAGACACCTTTTTCGTGCTGAGACCTCGAAAAACTCCATTATCGAAGATTTCCATCTCCAAAAAATTCAGGGAGATGTAGACAAAGTCCACTAATTTGAATCCTCTGAAGCCTACATTGAATTTCAAATATGTGTAGTACCCAAATTTTATGCCATTTTAAAATTACGGAGATCTGACGACGTCGACTTTGGCCAGGAAAGTCTAGCGCCACATATCCCATTCAGAAAGAAGGAACAAGTTAATTGGAACATCAATCCACGAATCGATTCTGTTTCTACTATCGTCTACCAGCAGAACCCTTTGCCATTAATCTTATCTCATGCCTAAATTCAAAGTGACTTCCATTTTTGGCAAGATGAAATTGCCCTCATATACAAATGATAGATCCAAGCTAGTGATATGGGAGGAACGAAAAGGGAGTCTCGCTTCTTAGGGTTATGCGTAACTGTAGAACATCTATTTCATATAACATATATAACATATTGAAACCATGCTTACTGCTTCAGTTAAATTGTATTTGGGGGATTGGCCACCACTCATTTCCAATATTGAGCGCAGAGCGCACAGTAGTAGTGATAGTCGGCAAACTACATCATTCCTTTGGATAAGAACCCCCTCTAGTAAGCGCAGGGTAAATCAGCTACCCACTCTTCTCTGCCCTATAGCGCTCATTGTTGGAAAGGAACGGTGGTCCCTCCCCCACTACATTTTTACCACGATTTCTTTAAACGGCGACCCATGAAAAAGAGATGGAGTCTCGAAACTATACCTCAATCATGATAAGAATTTTTCGAAGGGCATTAAACATCACTGACCATTACTTCAGGAACAGTCCCGCACCCATCCATGCATCGCCACTTTATCGTTGAAAAATTTCTGCATCTTTGCATCGCCTCTTTTCCTCTTTGAGATTCCTCCACGTAGCAAATCTGAAAAGGAATTATCATTTTCTAAGTCAAATAACCAAATACCGGTCCTCAACAAAGGGGGGAGCCCCAAAAACGACGCTTCACTGCGAGCGAACTGAACGACAGATTTAACTGAACTACTGAAGCTCTGCTTTCAGCAAAAGTGATTGGGCCTTCTGAGAAGACCTTAAGCAACAGTGGCCAAAACAGGTGAGAAAATAAAACATTAAAGCGAAAGATTCAAAACAGTAAGCGGGCAGCCATGAACGGAAATCGATGACAGCGAACGAGTGGAGGGGGATGGGTGGGAAGGTCCAAAGTTCACTGGGTGACCCGGAGGGTCAAATGACGGCCAATCACCTTTAAGAGTTACGGTAATCAAACTCAATGAAACAGAAATCATCCCATCTTCGCTTCAACTCAGTTCACTAGTAGGAATGCAATATGCAGTGTAGTGCCATATCACTTTATCAGATATCCCAGTCATGTAGTTGGCATCCTTATAGGCAGCGTCCGATCCGATTCTGGCGCAGCCTTTCAGTGTTGCGATGCGAGATGTCAAAAGGTACACAGTCGATAGAACCACTCCATTTCGAGTCGATCGCTCTCTTCATACATTGATTTTTTGAAGTAGTTCCCGAATTATTTATTTATTAACTGCACTCATAGTGCCCCAGAGCAATCAGGTGTTCAAACGCAGCGATGTAAAACATAGAAAAGAAAATATAAAAGTGCTCAAAACACCAGCTCCAGCACGCCCAATCAGAGAGGATAGGGCAACGTTGGTTTACGTTCAAAGAAGGCAGTTGGAACCCTTATACGCTGCTATAGGAGATGCTATAAAACTGTTGACTCTGTTAGAACTTATTGGGCAACTCATTTGTTTGTGTTGTATTTTCAAACGTACAGTTAGTGTTTTGGGTGAAGGTGCCGTAGTGGCAAGTGGCGCACTATCAGATATGCATGGACAAGAGTTCGATTCCCGGTCCGATATCCCGCTTCAACCAGACTGCCTTCCGTTCTTCCAGTGTCGATTATTCGGTAGCAGATCTCTTTCGGCGGATAAATAGCTGAGACTTGTACATCAGCTGGCCAAAGCAAGTCAAGATCAATCTTCATAGATTTCCTTCTTTTTCAACAATTAGCGTTCTACCCGGAATTTTCTTCAAAATCAGCTTTTCCTCATCCAGATCACACAAATCTAAGTGACTCATCTACTACATCTGTCGCAGAAAGGTAAAGGAAACAAAACCAATTGAACATCGAATAGGATCATCAACAATGGATTACAGTTGGAAATATTCATGACTGTGAATCTCTTCAAAATTATAGGCTGTTCAACTCTCTTACTGAACTGGTAAAAGTATCGGGAAATTTACAAATCTCTGGAAATTTGGAAGCACATGGTCTTTCCCGTGAAATCACCCCACACATCCAAAGAATAGGCAAACCGGGCCTGCAGACGGTGATCATTTAAAGATTGCAATGTATAAAATAATAAAAAATATCCATCAAATCACTTTCAAATACAACTCCTGCTACAAGTGATCAAATGCGTCCCTCATACCCACGAAATCCTCAAAATCACAACGATTATACCCTATTAATCGGACACAAACACACTGCAGACCAATCTTCCCATAGTGAAACCACCTTGCCTCGTAGTTTTCCCTGTTTCACGAAAAAATCTGGATAAAAGGGGAGGAACTGACGACTGGAAGCGCAAGAGAGAGGGTATTTGTCCGCTCTTATGGTACTTTCTTCCCTAATTCAATTTGTCAACACTTGTGTCCATTATTTTAATATTCTTAACATTCCATAATGCACTCAAGTGTTGATTAAATGACCGCCAAAGTTAAGTGGGTATGGTTACCGAAATAACTTGCTGAATTTACCTGAGAACCATCAAAAAAAATTTGGGAGAAGTAAGAAACCAAACCGAGGAAATTCTCTCACTAGTCCCTCAATCGACGGCCTACTTGCCCTCAGCACCTTTCACATTTGTAAAGCGTGTAAGCCATCCTCACCGAATCCAGATCCAAATTGCATTCAGTTACCCACATGATCGCTTCTTTCCTTGAAGAAACCCGAGAGCACAGGGAATGTATTCCTGAACCCTTTTCTTCATAGAGTACTCTGCTTTGTTAAGATAACTAGACTCGTATTCCAACGATATAGAAATGCGAAGTATGGGGGCATATTCCCACAACGACCACCCCACTAAAAAGCGACACTATTACAATCAAAACCGATTGACGATCAACCACAAACGATTAAAACCAGGGCAGCACATTACTAACAAATACCTAAGTCGTTATTGTAACACGATTATGTGAATAAAAGCAGTTTTCCATTACTCTTACGAATCCTTTATCCTTTATAATACTAGACATCAACTAGAAAAAATTGAGCCATTCAAGAAAGTGACCGTGAACAATAGAATACAGATACGATTGTAATATAAGGTGATTTATTCACAATTTCACAATCCACATTTTGAAAAAACAAAACATAAAATCGCATCTAATCGAGCACTATGCAGCACATATTATAATTTTTCTAACATCCTATATACATATCACACCGGTTAGCAGACCTCACATTAAAGATCACCCAGGCAAGAAACAAAGAAGATTGGAAAGAAAGTAGCTGAATCGTTGCACAGAAGCAACCATTCTTTTCGATTCTAATCAATTATATGAATTCCCCAGTACTGTGCAGTAATACCACCGATGCGAACAAACGGCACGACAAACTGCGGCTGTAATGACAGACCGGCTACGATTCGACCAAACGACTGCACAGCTTCTATCCAGTTGGGAGTTGGCCAATCGACACGCATCTTCTCATCACCAGCCAGCGTGTTGAGAAAACTAAACATTAATATCAAGTAAATTCCAACAGAAACCAATATTCTATTCTATTCTAGGGTCATGTTCTTGGACACCGATCGTACAACAATAATAAATAAATAAATATCCGCTGGAAATTTCCCAATCATTATTTTGTTGACTTAGTGATATCACCGAATTAGTCAATACCACTGTTTTTCTCCTGTAATTTGGCAGGATATTACTAAGCTCAACTGAGGATCTACCTTTACCCACAGTTCAAATAAGTTATTCTCAAACCCACTTCAGGTGTGCTCCAGTGAGCACCGTTTTCTCCTCCTCGGCTAGTCGTAAAACACGAGCGGCCAGAATCCGTGACATTGTTTGTATCAAATGATCCGTTTGTGACAAGCCAGACAGTTCACGACTAGCAGCCGAGTCCTGACCGGCCCGTAAATGGCACAGAACTTGCTGAGCAAAAATTTGGTAAAGCACTGGATACATCATGCGAAAAACAATAAAACAACAATGAAATGCAAGTACATGTAACACATTATAACGACAAGGCTATTCGTACTTTGACTCTCCACCATTCTTCACCCGCTATCCAAATTGGAAATCTCGTGGGAGAGACAAGCTAACGGTACGAATGGTCCACGTAACAGAAAAAAGAGAATACTCACCGTTATTTGGATAGTATCGACTGTCAAGTTCCACTCGAACGACAAGAACCTCGCAAGTTTTCGATCTATATCTGTTCCCTGCTCGGCTACCTGAAACAACAAGGATCTGTTAATTGAGGTCATGAAACTTGAAAAAAAGCATAAACCTTAGTAAGAAACTGATGCCGTCGTTCCACAACAGCATCATCTACTCGGTCCAAAGGTATCAAAGGATGGGAATCCAAAGGGAGAAAGAAAGCACGTTGTCCAATTGGACAGAACAGAACACGCAGTATATGATTACGGAGACCAGCCGATAACTAAATTTAGGTGCAATTACAAAAAGCATAAATCGACAAAATTGGAGAACTTCCGACCTGAATTGCAGCAGCTACTGCCAAATGGTAGTGGTGAAGAACGAGATGGTAATTGACCAACTGTTGCCGAATTGCCAACTCTACCAGCGAGTCTCTTGACGTACCAGCTATCTGTAGACTGGCAGGAGGATGGGATTGAGCTATCTGGAACAGAAGTTTTGAAGGGAAAGCTTGTCAGGCAGGAAGACTGAACGTGTTTCCCCCTCAATTAATGTACTGCAGAAAAGGGTGGAGAAAAGAATAGGGTGAAAGCAATTCTACTTTTGGACCATACAGAGTTACTATGCTGATGCTAAAACCAAAAATACCCCTATATTTGATGTACCAGAAAAGGCGAAAAAAAAAGGAAAAAGGGCAAAAATGTTACCTCAATCAGCTGATCCTGCTGTATGTGTGACGGAGGGGGTGAGTCTCTGACGTCATCCATAAGCATTTTCAGTAATTCGTGGCACCTCGATAGAAACTCGACCTGAAAATGACGCAAAGATTTAAACAAAACTAATGAAACCAACCGCACCCCAAAAGATCATCAGATGAAAGAAATCATCGAGAATAACTTGAATATTATGACTGTTCAGTTCACCTAGTTACTTTAATGGATATTGATGTCTCAGAGAGGAGAAATCGCAGAAGTAGAGAAAGCAAATGCATAAAAACAAAGTAACATTATAAGCCGGATTGATATTATGTAGATGTGGTCGACTACTGTTGTAGTGGAAACTACATGAGTTCCTGAAAGAACCAGAAGCAGGCGTCCATTGCAGGCTTTTCGTGAGAAAAAACGTGAGGGTCGTCAAGCATTGTCAAGCATAAGAAGGATCACCAGAGCGGATTACGATTATAACTTCACAAACTTTGGTCAAATCATACGGCACCTAGCCCAAAGTGCAGATCTCCACATAATGAATGTTGCAACATCTTGCAGTACCTGAGACAATAATATATTGAATAGTTCAAAACCGACCCCAAGAGATAAATGAAAAGATCTATCCCCGGGTGGTTAGCTAATCACTAACTCTGCTGACGTTGATGTTTTTACCTAGTTTACAGCAGTATAACGTGGTTCAGCATTATTTTTTCGAAAATCAAAACCAACAGGAAGCGTGAGATGAACAGCTCACCACGCGTATCTCCGGCATTTGCAGCTGCTGACGGGCCTCTCTTTCCTTGGGAGCACGACCCGTCTTTTCAATCAGCAGCACAACAGCTTTGAATCGTTCCAGTATGAAATTCTGCCACATTAATACCAGAACACCGTGACGTAAACGGCTATCATCAACCAATGCGAGGTAGCCCAGTGCCAGCTAAATATCAAGTTTACCGCTTATTACCTTGCTTCATATAGAGAAGTATGGGGTCACCTCAAAATTATCAAAACACTGCAAGGTATCCTTGAACCACTGGCTCATCAATTCCCAGGCAATGTCACAACAAAGCAATGACTGCTTCAATGAATTTGGCAGTAGGGATTGCAATTCATTCAGACAATCGATCGACTTCAGTTTCTCTTCTAGCTGGTTTGGGCTCCATTTTTCTGTAGCCACCAGTGAACCGACCTGAATCAAGGCTTATGAAAGGTAACGTTAACAGACACTGTGAGTAACCTAACCTGCTCCCGAAAGAAAGCTCTCGCACTACTTATGACCTTGGCGAAAGATACGGACTGTCGTAACTGACTCGCTAGGAAGGCAGCATGCATTGTGAGAATAGTACAGTCGGCGTGCTCCATGCTAGGATCTACCGGTTCCCAATCGTCAGCACCGCCTAAATATGAAAAAAAAATTCGGCTTAAACTGGGAAAACGTTAGACCGAAAAAATTACGATGATGGGAAAATACAAAATTTAGTCACATGGAACGCAGTGCTAATATGTAATACCTTGGGTGAGCGCATCTTCCTCGCCAGAATCTATTCGCTCGACCGGTTCTGATTTGCACTTCCTCGGTAACTTCGCTTTAACAAGACAGCATGCAGCATAAAGTAAAAGTGCTCGACTTAGATTAACACTAAAAAAGTATTTTTAGAGTAAAATCAACTAATTATATATAGCAATAAGTAGCGGAAGAACACAACTAACCATTCTAAAGCCATTTTCTCACATTTCTCCAGCGAGCCTGGATAGAGTTGTTCGAATCGGTACAAAAAATCACATACAAATACAAATCCCTCTTCACCAACCTTCGAATGCGATTTAGTGAAAACAAAGCAAAGAAGATCAGGAAAATCCTCCTAAATACACACTGGATTTGACGTTCAAGTAAGCAACAATGAACAATGAAAAAACTTGACAGAAGTCAGCTTCATCAAGGGCTTACCAAATCATACGGTAATTCGGCCAATACACTTTCAATCAACGTCCTTACATCAATACGGCCTTGTAGCGCGGGTGCAAAGACGAATTCACCAAAGCGATACAGATCAGCATCGGCGTAATTCCTGAACACTGCTTTAATCCTAGCGACGGTCACAATTCGCGAAAATCGTAAAATTCCATGGCGAGTATCAATTTATGGACTCCGGGACACAAGAAGAAATAATTATAACTATTCGAAAAGGTGATGAAAATCTGAGAAAATTGAAAATAAATTTACTGAAAGTAAGTACCTGTCCCTCAGAGCGCCTTTTGTCGACTTGCAATCAATGAATCCAAGGAATTCGTCTACAGTCATCGGGGACTGCCGGCTTCTGTAAAGAAATCACCGGGTGATAAAACTCTTAGCGAAAAGATCAGTAACTAGACTTTCTCGGACACCCATCGGTATGAGATCAAACAGTCCCGTGCATCAGGATTATCATCTCGAAACATGTTGAAATGAAAATGATCACGACTCCGTGTACCCCATGGTCAATTTCGTGACACGGTCAAAAGGTAGTTGCTGATCTGCTTTTTTATTTATTTATTTAGTAAAATGTACATTCGTAACATTTTTTCATTGTCCTTAATTCGAATAGCAAATCCCATCAACACTACATCTCTCATATAAGGATGTGTGATCTTGGTGGGAATAGGGAAAAGAATGGAAATCAAGAAAAGCCTATACACAAACTCACTCATCTCCGTCGTTACAGTGCTTGAGGATCACATTTCGCACTTCCTCGTTGAAAAAGCTTTCGGTGACTTCATTAGTTTTCTCTATCATAAGCTTACTATATTTCACGATTTTGTTATAGATGTTTAGTTGTCGCCTTATGAAAGCAAGTAGTTCCTCCACCGGGCCAGTGCCGTCTGCCTGAAATCAGCAGAAAATGAGATAACAAAGATGGAAAGAGGCCTATGGGGTTCTGTGCGTGGCAAGTTTGATGAAGTACTTCAAAATTGTTTGACAGAACATTTATTTTATAAATAGTAGGGTAACAGCACCGATGCTTCAGAATCTATGGATTGGTAGGTTGTTTCTGGACTGTCTTATATGGCGTATATGATAAATAAATAAATTTCAAAGTTATATGGGTATAGACGGTGCAAAAGTAAGGCCCCGGACCTTGAGCTCACTGAAGACTGATGGTGACTCTTTGTCTGAATGCTTAAATAAAGAGGGACTTTTCGACGTAGGATTCCACGTGGGGAACCACAAAAGTCAGTCCATCTGAAGCGCTCTCAAAAAGCTCGATTCATGGATAAGACTCTTGGGTAGCAGGCAAATATCCTTCCAATAAATACTGCTTACCTTTGGTATCGCATTCAGAAGTTTTTCCAGTCTGGACGAGTCATTGACAAGAGGCAAAACAAGCAATATCAGTTCACGCTTCGATTTCAGCGTACGGAGCATTGAATAGACCTCCATGAACAAGTCCAAGTCTGGCGAAGATGAGAACTGAATTGAGGAGTTAAGGAATTGACGGCCTTCAATCATTATATAGATGAAGTCCAATACCTTCGATAACAACAACTGATCATGCTGATCCTGCGAAGTTACACGAATCATCGAAAGATGAAATGGAACCACAAGTCGACTGAATTTTCCCTAAAACACATAATTCGGTTAGTTAGCAGTGGGAGGATGCTAGAATGCTCACCTGACTATCTACAAAGAAAGCATCGCGTTGGAATTTTGGATTATGGGGGCCACATAAGACGGATGCAACTCCTCCATCTAGCAAAACTCCAGCTGGATCTACGTGTATAGCACCGGCCCTGACTCCACTCTGGAAAGTCACGAGATCGTTAATTAAAATAATCTTTCTGCTCTGCTATCAGCTCATTCCCTGAATTCAGCAAAACCAGAGGTTGAGAAAACAGACAATCGAAGTGCAGTTAGTGAATCGACACCACCCACCAAAGGAGTTTGAAAGAAAGATGTGAGGGTTGCTTTCCCTTTTCAAAAAGATGAAAACAACGGCAACGGGCGTTTTGTGAAACACATCTTCCACACTAAGACGTAGAAAATCTCGACAGATCCTTATTTCTCCTGGTAAATGTATGGCTTTCGCTTCATGGCTTTCGCTTCATACGCCAATTCGAGTCATAAATGGGCATCACAAGAAAGATAATGAAAGCTTACTTTCATATACTATTCTGAGGAAGTAAATGAGTAAATGAATTACCTGTACATTCCACACTTCAAGCAAGGCCCGACGTGGAGCGAAAATTGCCAAAAACAACGCAGTTTGCTCATTATTCGAAGAATTGATCCATGCAACAGTAGCATCTCTGTAGCCTTTCCATATTCGAATTATTTGTCGATTCACTATCTAAAACGTGAATAGGAATACTAGTTCACACGAATGTGAGCCTTAAACGATAACAGTTTTTGAGAGTTAAAGAGCCACAAAGGGTCCTACTCATGACAAACGCCAGTGGGTTGCTTTCGACATATTAGAGATAAATTTGTCAACTGTAAAAAAAATAACGTCAGAATATAACAAACACAATCGCTAGTTTACCAGCCACAAAATGTCAATTGTCAATACGCGGAATATATGCGCTTTCTGAGTACTCTTCATGAACAGCGCTTATGCCAGAACTCACATCAATCAGCACAATCCTAGCTATGTGATCCACGACAGCTACAAGACCGCGCGACGCTTCCAGCGCTGTTTCCACAGCGAGCCGAGAATCGTCCAACGTTCCTCGAGTCGTTACTGCATGGGAAGTTTGCGATACAGCGGCCTTCTTTTTTGGTGTTGAAGAAAAACCAAGCATATCACGAAATCCGAAATGCGGTACGAACTATAAAGAAATACTTACAACCATATTTAAAAAGAATTCTGTATCCTGAAACTCACAGATTTGCCGTATTTTATCGCTTCTTGCCAAATCTTCTTCTTGTCAGAATCGGTAGTCCATGCAAAAGTCGAAAAAACTTTGTCAGATGTGTACATATAAGTATAATATGCGGGAAGAGCTGCACTACTAATAGTCTCCTAAACGACGGTATTTTGTTTAAAACAAAAATATCTGAATAAGAAGTTGTTAACTTCAGAATATTTCTAGAATTACATTGTATGATGTCATCGAGGCATTAGTGTACTGCTCAAGGGCAGACTGATAATGCATTCCAGTGAACAACACATGCCGGAAACTATTTTTTCTGAAGCCGAAATCTATTAACAGAAATAGAGAAATCAGTGCAAAATAGAGACTGCAATCGCAACGTACCCGTTCTCAGGCTTTAAGCGATCAACGTCGACTTCCAGTGTTTTTGACAATTCCTCAGCGGTCTTTTCACCTTTTGCTATCTGAAGGGTAAAACTGAGTCAAAAACTATTGAAGTTCGAGCAACAATAAACTCGAGAACTGACAGCGGATTTGGCTTTCAGAAGGGTGGAATGAAGACTGACAGGATCGACGGCGAAAAAATCCACGGATGTTACCACCGTGAACTGCTGACTTTCTTCTGTTTGATCAAATGTAACATAATAAATTTCCGATTCAGAAAATTGTTCGGAGAAAAGAAGGACGCCTTAAAAATACTACTAAACTGAAAATGCGATAAAACAAAGTTTTCGCGAAAAACGAAAGAAAGAAAGGCATACCAACCTCTTTCAGTGAAGAAAACCACATGACCATTAGACATTCCGACAGCCACTAATAAACAATCAAGTGCCTCAGAAACTCGATGAGTGCCTAGTCCAAAAAGACAACCACATGTGATATTGTCCTAGAATCCGTATATTTCTTTTTCAAAGGTCTCTGATCAGCCAGATTCGGTTATAGAAATCAATTCCGCTGCCAAAAA